AGAGAGAGAGAGAAAGAGAAAAAAAAAAAAAGAGAGAGAGAGAGAGAGAGAGAGAGAGAGAAGCGGGTATAAATGTACAAAAACTATGATCTGAGGGTGAGCGCGTCAAATTTGCTCCTGCGCGTGCTTTGCGCGCATGTAGGCTGCACCAGAAAAAAATATTCGTCTGTTTTTCACTTTGACAGGCCTAATTTGTTTAGGTTGCAACAACGAGTGCTTAGTCAATGCATTTGTTTTGCAAAGATTATCGCGCAGTTACGATGACACAAGTTCAGAGTCAGAGTATGATAAGCATTCGCGCGAATACTTGACAAGCAAGAGCAAGGCCTCTTGTCTTTTCCAGGAAGTAAATTAGCGGTTTCGGTCATGTAAAAAGCCAACGAATATTATTGTTTAGTTTCGTACACATTTGAGGTCAGCACCGTTCCGTCTGATAAGAGTTTCAAGCCCTATGAGATCGTCTTGTCTGCTTTCCGATAGTAAACATTCTATCTTTAGTTTTTGATTCTTTGCAATAGTCTGAATAAGATTTGGAGCTTTCTGCTCCAATTTTTTTCGCGTATCTGCTGGTGTTTTCGAAAAGTAGAACGTTTCTAAAAATATTTCGAACGTAGACGAACATTTCAGCTGTGTCAAAAACTGGCTTGATGAATTGCAACCATAAATCGTCGCGAAGTGGAACAAGTCCAGAATTCCAGTACATTAAAATTTATCGACAGGAAAAGCCTTGACTTCTTCTTACTTGATGATTGTTTTCATTATCAGGACATGGATACTTCGCCTTTATAACGTGAAGCAGTATGCTTGTTTTGTTATTTCATATTAATTTGAATGGATGTTAAAATAATTTCGTTTGGGTAAACGGTTTGATCAAAATCTAAATCTAGCAGCGCACCTTCACCTCAACACTCAACAGGAAGAGGAAGAAAATTCCAAAATGGCTGCCGACGAGTGGCGAAACTGTGTAGAATGGCTGGTAAGATGTCAAATCCTACCAGTCGATCACAAAGCTACAAGGCTAGATGCTACAGCTTTCGAATTAGCACAAGCTCTTCGAGATGGTGTTCTTCTTTGCCACTTACTTAATACTCTGCGACCTGGCTGCATCGACATGAAGGACTTCAGTTCCCGACCACAGATGTCACAGGTAGGGTGAACAGTGTGTAGACTGTACTATAATACTGTAGTCTGTAGTGGTAGTGTAGGGTGGGCCTCTTGAAGTCTAGGTTAGTTAGTGAAGGCAACTGCAACTCAAGTCAAGTGTTGTTACCTTTGTTGATAAATTAATCCACCATTACTCTTGGTCTGTATTTTGTGGCTTGTCTACGGTAAGATTGATTGAAGAATACCGGACCAGCAGACAGGATGGGAATACTCTTGCCATGTCTCAACCTCAGGAATTCATGATTTCCCCCCAGTTTTTAATATCTTTCAATGGAGAATCTCGGACCGGTAGATCTATTCATTAACAATTTGTCAGGGGGGAGGCCCCC